CCTCTGACCCCATTTTGCTGCCAGACGATGTGTATTGCTCCTTGACATAGAACGCCACACCCCATCTTTCCTTCCTTCTTTATCCCGCCTGTAAAGCCTATAGCCCCTAATGCTAACTGCCCAGTTGTGGGATGAATCCCTCCAAGTTTCTGTAAGCATATACATCCCTATGACACTGAAACCATAATTCAAGGTACCAGTTGCATAACTCCCATAGAAATCAAGATCTTGAGGCTTTTATAACTTAGGTGGGTTTATATTTAAATTCTTAACTCCTATTGAAACCAATGTATTGAAGGCTACTTTAAAAAATTAATTAGGGGTTTTCAAAGGACATCTAAGTTCCTTTTAGTATCTGGCCCTGGGCACATCTACATGTGCACTTTAATGCACTTTAGCCTATTTTAATGCACATAAAATTATCACTAAAGACGTGTTGTTTAGTTAATGTGCATTAAAAGAGGCTAATATGAGTTAAGCATCACTTAAAAACTATGAGTGCCTATACACAAGCTGGCAGGCTGCTCCAATGTGCTGTAAATGGCCCCCGCTGCCATTTTGAAGCATGGGGACATTGACACATAAGACACTGTGGACGTTTTAATTGAAGTGCCCCCCTGCCACACACACACTCCTAGAGCAAATGTTAAAACACCATGTACTCTTTAAGTAATGCACATTAAGTCAGGGTAATGTGCATTTTCCTAGTACCTCACAATGGATGTACTAGTTTTAATGTGCATTAACTGCAGAGCGTTAATGCACATGTAAATGCTCCACCTAGGTTGAGGTGCTGACCATCCTCAGTTCCCTTAGACTTTTAACAGGTGCTGAGTTAACTCAGCAGTTTGCAAGAGCTCCTTTACGCTTAGAGAATTAGGCCCATTCTTGAAATGGCAGCAATAGGAATAACCCTACCTTCTGAAGCCTGATGCATTCTTCTACCAGTAACTGGGAAAGCAGTTTGTACCTCTTGGATCCTATGGCTTCCAGGAACATTTCTAGTCTCAGCAACATGTAAAGCTGGTTACAGGCTGTCCCACTTCTGACCTGCATTAGTCATCCCTGAAATGCATCCCAAACGTGAAGTCAGAGCTTATGTTTGCTTACTAAATGACTGTGTACAGCTTCTGTGCCTTCATGTGGCATTTACCTATGCCTTTATCATCTAGAAGCAAAGCATGCTATCAAATGAGAGCAACATTGGCATGTAGTTGTATGCTGACTGGAAAAAACATAATACTGCCCATGATAGTGCTGATGTGCTACATCAGGTTTTGATTAAATATTTAGTGGTCGATAATGTTTCATAATAGGGGTGGCTTGGTAATTGCAATTTCCTGTGATAGACACGAGACTGAATTTTTTATCAGTTGTAAACTGGCAAGAGGCTACAGCCATACTGCCAGTTACAGCTATTAACTTTCCTGCACAATAAGGTATTGTTTTTATTGGCTTTAATATATATTTCATTGAAGTGTGTGTGTGTATGTGGGGGGGGGGTATTATTTATTGTATGTAATGCTGCCATGTCATTTAAAAAGGATTATGATTACTGGCAGGAATAAAGGGGTCCATTAAGGTTTTATGAAACAATTTAATATTCAATAATATTCCACATTCCTTTGCTTTGGAAGAAAATCTAAAGCATTTAAAATATCCCTTTAGACTTTTCTTTACTTACCATTTGGATAACTGAAGAAATATAACCTTTCAGTTTTCTCTTATTACCTTTAAGCTGCAGTATGTTTAATGGAGATAAATAGCATTTAAATTATATCACAAACAAGATTTATACAAACTCATATAGCATCAATAACAAAAAATACAGCAGACATTTACATTCAAATGCTAATCTTAGCCAGATTTTTTTCTATTTTCTATGCAGTAAGATAAATAGGTTTGTTTATTATGCCTGACAATCTATAGATTTGACATCATTTGGGGCTTCTTCCATACTATCTTAAAGACATGGGAATAATTAAGAAGAACAAGAAAAATCCTATTTAAAATAAAATATACAAACTATAGTTTATCCAAAACCTTTTCTCAGTGGCTACGTGAATATGATTTTTGAGGAATTTTTGGATTCTTTTTAAGTTTATTTTCTAATTTGGATTGTGTCACTATCTGTGGCTATCAGTGAGTACTAAATTAAGATCATTATACAATTATCAATGGCAAAAGGCAAGAGAGTCATGGCCTCAGTTCAGAAAAAAAACATTTAAGAAGGTATTGCTGCATATATTTAAGATTTACTGAGTTAATGGGACTACTCAGGTACCTAAGTCCTGTGGTGAATTAGAATCTTAAAACAAGATGCTGGTGTAATTATTTTGTAATCAACCATTTGTGGCTGGGTAAGTGCAGCTCATAAATCTGGATGGTATATAAATGAATATGACGATTAGGGCTCAGTGTGGAATTAATGTTCTCTTAATGTCTCTGGCATGCGATAAGAAAAAAATAATGGGAATGTTGAAGTTTCCATACCAACTTTATTTTATTATTTAGCTTAATTTAAAAGTTATTATATTTCCTTTTGCCCCCTTTTCTATTTTTTAACTACAATACTTTTCAAACTTGTTTTCCTTAAAGTTATGGCATAGGACTGGGTCAGCTACCATAGGATAGGGATGGCACACAAAACAGTTGCAACAGAATAGCTGATATCCTGGTAAATCAGAATAGCTGGTAAATAACTGGGTATGACTGGAACATAGTTAGGGCTTTACCCCAGAGGGTCATGACTAGGGATCTATTTAATTTATGATTTTGTGGATTTTAGGGAAAAAAAGACAATCCAGAAATCAGCAAAATCTGCAAAATCATCATCAACAACAACAACAAAACTTAATACAAATAAAATTATGGTTCCCCAGTGGGAGACAATGGTCTTTGCTGCTGGGAGGGGAAGGTGCTGGCTAGCAGGGTGGCACATAGTACAGCAGACAAGATGGCGACTGCCTCCTTGTCCTTCCTTGTCCCTACTCAGGCCTCTCCACCAATCAGTGCCGAGGGGCAGGGCAGTACAAAGGGCAGCCTGCAATCAAGATGATGGCTGCTCCCTTGTCCCTCCCCACCAGGGTCTCTCTGTCAATCAGTTCTGAGGGGTAGGGCTGCCACAAAATGACTGTGAATTAGAACTTTACACTAAAATCAACCCATGAAAATTGGGAAGTCCCCTGGTGATTTATGTGGACTCCTAGTCATAACCTAGGGGATCAGAAACAGAAAAGTCTTGGAATCAAGGGACCCAATTATAGCCAGGAAATGAATAGTTGGCAGGTCAGGAGGCCAAGGTCTGTGAGAGACTGGGATGTAGACAGTCACCCTGGCTTGTCTCACAGGTGAGGAGCCTAGAATTGGGGGAGGGAAGGCTCAGGAACAGAGGAGGGGAGTGACTAGAGTCACTAGCCAGAACAGGCAGCAATAGCTATGTGGGACTAGGAAGTAGTCGATGCTTGAGCTAAGCCATAACCCAGGAGCTTGCTGTCAGAGGACAGAGGTCTTGAAGCACAAGGGGTCAGGGAATAAGCAAGAAAATCTGGAAACACAAGTGTCTGGGCTGAAGTCAGACAGGCAGGAACCAGGAAGAAGGATGAAGCTGGGAATCCAAGAAGCATGACCCAAGGAATAGGAAACTGGGGACAACAAACAGGACCAAAGGTAAGCACAGCACAGAGACCGGGAAACTAGGAATCAAAGGGTGAATATACACATACTAACTTTCTGACAGTTAAGCTGACTGAATTTTTTAAAGTTGACTTCATTGGCAGAGTGTACACACATATGTGGAGCAGAGTTTACTTAGATGCAGTGCAAAATAATACACCTCTGAGGTGTATTTACACAAATTGCCAATTGCTTAAATCATGAGCAAGACCTTATGAAGGGGATAAAGCAAAGTACGCATTTATTGATAAAGGGCTTAATACACACACAACATTCATACCCCAATTTCTGTTCTACACTCGTATATGTTACAAGTCTTATTGGTGCTCAGATCAATTTAGTGGCCAGCCAAGTTGATCTTGAATGGGAGCCAAGCTCCTGCAGGTCCATCTTGTCAGACAAACTGATGCTCCAGGATGACATGCAGAACAAGATGCAAGATTGATATGTCTTGCCCCATCTTTTATAGCCTTGTCAGTTTATCCAAGCCTCTGGCGTTTTGCTGTGTTATTTCTTGAAGGTTGATTGTTGTTGTTCTCTCAGTGTTCTGGAGTGGATTCTTCTTGTTTGGTCTTTTATCTGTCTGCATTCTTCAGCCAGTCACCAGCTGATGTTTTCCTTTTCCACAAACACACTCTCACCCATACAGCATACAAAAGAGTAAGAGGTTGAGCACTTATGTCAAGCTACAGGGCAATACAAAATGGAGTTTCTTAAGGCAATGCAAAACTCAAGAAAATACATAAGATTAAAAGCAATACGCAAAAGTCTATTTCCATGTTATTTACCTAACATCAAGCTGGCTATTTGCATAACATATTATCTTGAGTTGATTAGTTAAGTTGACTTAGCTCACAAGATGGTTGCCACCATGTCAAGGAGCTCTATGTGTGTATGCTCAAAAGTGGCTTAAGGAGCAGCCACTGTCTTAAGTCAACTTAGTTAAGTCGCCTTATTTTAAGTTGACTTAATATATGTGTACGCACCCAAAGGTGGGAACCAGAAAACTTAAGAACTAGAAGTCAGAAGTTCAAGGCTAAACAGAGGCATCTGTCTTGATGTTGAGTAGCCTGTTGAATACTGAAATAGCTGCTGCTTATAAGCATGCAGCCAAGGCTAGGGAGGAATATAACAGTATTGTTTGGGCATGCAGAGATGAAATCAGAAAGGCCAAAATGCAATTGAAGCTGCAGCTACCAAGGAACTTGAAGGGTAACAAGAAAGATTTCTACAAGTCAGCAACAAGAAGAAAATTGGGGAAAGTATAGGTCTGTTACTGAATGGCACAGGCAACCTAGTGAGAGAGATGCAGAAAAAGCCAAAGTACTCAATGCCTTTTTTCTTCAGTCTTCACAGGTAAGGTCAGCTCACAGTCTACTTCACCTGGCAGCCCAGCTTGGGGAGGAGGTGAGCAGCCAATAGTGGCAAAAGAACAGGTTAGGAACTATTTAGAAAAGCTGGATGTGTACAAGTCCATGGGGCTGGATGTGATGCACCCAAGGGTGCTGAGGAGTTTAGCCACTGGCTATTATCCTTGAAAACTCATGGTGATTAGGAGAGGTCCCAGATGGTTGGAAAGGGGTAAATATAGGGTGCCTATACACTTGATGGACCTTCATTAATTGAATTTTCTGCGAGTCTGCTGGAGAATGCTAATTAGCCTCTGTGTTACATGTATTCAGTGTCCTACATTTCAAAATGGTGACAGAGGCACTTTAACCAAAGCTTGTTGAATGATCCACTCTAATTAAAGCATTCCCCACCCTGAGCTGCTCTAATTAAAGCCTCTCCCCCCTCCACCTGGAGCACATGTATAGATGCCCATAGTGTCCATCTTTAAGTAAGGGAAGAAACAGAATCTGGGGAACTACATACTCGTCAGCCTCACCTCAGTACCTAGAAACATCATGGACCAAGTCCTCAAGGAATCCATTTCTAAGCACTTTCCGGAGAAGAAGGTGATTAGGAACAGTCAGCATGGATTCACCAAAGGCAAGTCATGCCTGATCAATCTAATTGTTTTCTATGATAAGATGACAAGCTCTATGGATTTGGGGAGAACAGTGGATGTGATTTACCTTGACTTTATAAAGGCTTTTGATATGGTCTCCCACAACATTCTCATAAGCAAGGTAAGGAAATACAGCTTGGATGAATGGCAGTTTTGTTCTATATCTTCATAAGCTATCTGGAAGATGGGGTAGTGTGCACCCTCTGCAGGTTTGCAGCTAACACCAAGCTGGGTGGAGTAGTATATATCATAGAATCATAGAAATAGGGTCGGAAGGGACCTTGTAGATCTTCAAATCCGACCCCCTGCCTGGGCAGGAGAAAAAAG